CTATCATAAATGATTTTAATTATTTACTTGTTTATTCTTATTCTTCACCATCGAATGACAACTCTTTGAAGATAGGGACCTTGACTATCTTGATCATTGCTGAGTTTCTTGTACCTAGGGCAGCACCTGTTGTTTTGCCTGGCACTTAGAAGGAATTCAATAAATATTTGTTAAAAGGATATATTTCCGGGGCGCCTGGGTGGCTCAGTCGTTCAGCGTCTGCCTTCAGCTCAGGTCATGATGGGATCGAGCCCCGCATCGGGCTCCCTGCCCGGCGGGAAGCCTGCTTCTCCCTCTCCCACTCCCCCTGCTTGTGTTCCCTCTCTAGCGGTCTCTCTCTCTCTCTGTCGAATAAATAAATAAAATCTTAAAAAAAAAAAAAAGGATATATTTCCTAATGTTTATTAATAGCCAGCTCTATTACAGGACCGTGAAGTGCTTGGAATAAAGCATTGTGATGAGAGCCAATGGTTACTCTAAGCTCAGCTTCTTGCAAGTTCCATGTAATTTGCCTATACCTAACTAGTACATAAAGAACAATTTGGGAATGATCAAGGTGATTAACTAGCCTCTGAATGCATCTGAATGTAATGACCTTTAAAGCGCTGATTCTAAGCAATACATATGTCATTCCATTCTAAGAAGGCTAGAGTAACAGGTTTGAGATGAAGCTTCAATCTTCCTGAGTATTGACAGAGGTAATGATTACCTTGTGGCCCATGACAGAGGAAAAGATGTGTTCTCTAGCATGAGGCATAAAAATCCTGTTCTGGCTATTTTCCTGGGACTGCCAAAATATTGCCACAAACTTGGTAAATAAAACAAACCAATAGAAATGTTTCTCTCACAATTATGAAGGCCAGAAGTCAGAAATTAAGGTGTTGGCAGGCTGTGCCACCTCTGCCGTGTTAGAGGAGAATCACTTCTCGCCTGTTCAAGCTTCTCTGGGTGCCGTCATTCCTTAGCTTGAGGCTGCATCATGGCAGCGTCTGCCTCCATCTTCACATGGCTTTCTGCTCTGAGTGCGAGTCTAAGCCCCTCTACTTCCCTTGTATACAGACAATTGTGATGGCATTTTGGGCCCACCTGGATAATCCTGGATGAGCTCCCCATCTCAAGATATTTAGTCACATCTACAAAGACCTTTCTTCCAAATGAGGTAACATCTGCAGGTCTAGAAATTAGGATGTGGACATATCTTTGGCAGCCATCATTACTCTGGATAAAGTTTAAAAATTCCAAAAGTAATGGATTTATGTTAGAACAGTTTTTTCTTTTCTTTTTTTTTTTCATTGTGGCAAATTCACATACCATAAAATTTACCCTCTTAACCATTTTAGGTATACAGTTCAGTGGTATCCCATACATCCACATTGCGGTGCAACCGTCACAACCTTTCAGCCCATAACTCTTTTCACCTGGTAAAACAGAAATTCTGTACTCATTAAATAATAACTCCCCATTCTCCCCACCCCTCAAGCCCCCGGCAACCCCACTATTCTACTTTCTAACTTTATGATTTTGACTACTCTAAGTACTTCATATAAGTGGAATCATATGGTATTTGTCTTTTTGTGATTAGACAGGGCAGTTTTAAGTGAAAAAAAAAAATTGCCCCCTTAAGTAATTTAGAAGAGAAGACTTTGTGGAAAAAGAGACCCTTGAATAGAAGAAGTAATCACTGGCTAAACCAGATGCAAGCCCTTCTGTGAAACAGAATATGGTTCAATATGGCCAAAACAGACCCATTTTACAGAAGCGAACCTGCCCTGGAGAAGTCCAGTCATGTCTATAGTGCCTAGCATTGGGCTAGAATTAACTAGAGTAGGATGCTGGCTTTAAAACATCCAAAGTAGGTTCCCTGGGAGAAATAATCAGATTAAAAGCAAAAAACTAAATTGTCCCCTAGACCTGTTACATTAGTAAATACTAATTATGAGATATTGTGGATATTGGAATTATGGGGATATGTTTGACATGTCATATTTAATGGATGTCATTTTCTTTTATTTCTTTTGGTATTTTATGGCCTCTCTTCTTACAAAATGTAGGTGGGTGGAAGAATTGTTATCAGTGAAATTGATTAGGTACTGAAAAAAACAATTAAGTTTCTGGTCACACCAATCAGAATGGCTAAAAATAAGTCAGGAAACCACAGATGTTGGCAAGGATGCAGAGAAAGGGGAACCCTCCTACACTGTTGGTGGGAATGCAAGCTGGTGCAGCCACTCTGGAAAACAGTACGGAGGTTCCTCAAAAAGTTAAAAATAGAGCTACCTTACATCCCAGCAATTGCACTACTAGGTATTTATCCAAAGGATACAAACATAGTGATTTGAAGGGGTACATGCACCCCGATGTTTATAGCAGCAATGTCCACAATAGCCAAACTATGGAAGGAGCCCAGATGGCCATCGACAGATGAATGGATAAAGAAGATGTGGTATATGTATATACAATGGAATATGACTCAGCCATCAAAAAAATGAAATATTACCATTTATAACAACGTGAATTGAGCTAGAGGGTATTATGCTAAGCAAAATAAGTCAATCAAAGAAAGACAAATATCATATGATCTCACTTATATGTGGAATTTAAGAAACAAAACAGATGAACATAGGGGAAGGGAGGGAAAAATAAAATAAGATGAAATCAGAGAGGGAGACAAACCATAAGAGACTCTTAACTATAGGAAACAAACTGAGGGTTGCTGGAGGGGAGGGGGCTGGGGGATGGAGTAACTGGGTGATGTACATTAAGGAGGACATATGATGTAATGAGCACTGGGTGTGATATGCAATTGATGAATCACTAAACTCTACCTCTGAAACTAATAATACACTATATGTTAATTAATTGATTTTAAATAAAAAACAAAAACAAACAATAAAAAACAATGAAGTTTCTGGGTAGGAGCTCAAGTCAATAGAGGTGTGGGACTCCTAAAAGGAAATTGCGTGTTTCATCCTGCTAACTCCCGTCTGGCGCAAGGGATCTGATTTTATACCTATTGTCCCATAAAGCTAATGTCAACCTTGTAGTAAAAATGATCTTTGTTGAACTTGAGATTTCTCGTTGTAAAAATTCGTCTTAATCCTGGTCCTTTTACCAGCTAATAGCAGGTTCCCAGCCCTTAATTGCTCCAGACTGACATCTAGCTGCAGGTATCTGAAGACCATTAGTTTGTAGGATTAGTTTCTAATCTAATACTAACCAAGCTTGAAAGTATTTATGTGCCTCATTGCCACCACAGTGGGGTCCCCTATCTTGCTGCTTTAAGATCCTCTCTGGTCCTAAGAGTGAATTTCATTGCCCATAGACTCCTCCTTGCCCTGCACTAGTCCACCAAACTGGACCTCTCAAGTAGAGCTGGCTTAATGAGTGTGGGAGCTGTGTACTTGCACAAGGTCTTTTGCTTAGAATGGTCTCACACTCAGATTAATGCTCTCTGGCTGTCATTTTGAAATTTTTAGCAATTTTACCTTTGAACTGTTTTGTAAGCAAAATCCAAAGGGGCTCCAAAGGGACAAAAGAGAGGACATGTGAGCAGAGATATGCACAGTCTGTGTTTGCCATTCCTTGCCCTCACGTTCTCATGAACATTCCTGATGCCCTGTCATTACCATAGAATTCCAGGGGACCACGTATGAGAGATGTAAATGTGATCAACTGGTGGGGGGAGGGGAGCAGCTCTGAGAGACCACACTTTCCCTTTAAACTAGAACTTGCTTCAGATGCTGAAAGAAGGTGGTAACATTCAGAGAGAGACATGAATAACCAAGGAACCTTTCTTACTCATGTTACTTTCCTGTATTAGCTAAACACTTAGGCTGAAAACGATGACATAGAAGGAAAGGAAAAGATACGGCAACCCAGAGTTCCCTTTCTTTTAGTCTTTCCTTAATCATTAGTAAGCTAAAGTTAGAGAGTGTCGATAGAACATATGTGCATATTAAGAAGTGAAATAAAAAGCTCAGTTAGTTTTGTGCATGAAACTGACTTGGTATTCTGTTAAGGATGAAATGCATATAATGGGAGCCTGGGTAGCTCAGTTGCTTAAGTGGCCAACTCTTGGTTTTGATTCAGGTCATGATCTCAGGGCTGTGAGATGGAGCCCTGTGTCAGGCTCTGCTTAAGAGCTAAGCATGGAGCCTGCTTAAGATTCTCTCTCCTTCTCCCTCTGCCCCTCCCTCCCCCACTCCTGTGCTCCCTCTCTCTCTCTCAAACAAGAAAAAAAAAAAAAAAAGAATGAAATGCAATTTATGTCCAAGCTGCAAAATACAAACTGTAATTTTGGTGATATTAGAGCATATGAGTTAAATACTCCTATATTTGCATTTAAAAATAGCTTTGTACAACATAAAGATAAACAGTAAAATTCATGCCAATGAATAAAATTTAAAATTTTTGTCTACTTAGAATGAGATTAATTAGCAAACAAAAAGCACCATGAAAAGCTGAGAAAGAGGCCATGGAAGAAAAGAAAAAGCTTTACACTTTAGTATGTTTAAAAGCACTTTTTCCTGGGGCGCCTGGGTGGCTCAGTTGGTTAAGCGACTGCCTTTGGCTCAGGTCATGATCCTGGAGTCCCTGGATCGAGTCTTGCATCGGGCTCCCTGCTTGGCAGGGAGTCTGCTTTGCCCTCTGACCCTATCCCCTCTCATGTGTTCTTTCTCTCGCATTCTCTCTCTCTCAAATAAATAAAATCTTTAAAAAAAAGCACTTTTTCCTGCTTTTTGAATCATGTGACTCACAGATTACATGACTGACCCTGCTCCTGACTGCCGGTACCAGGGCAGAGAAGGTTTGGCTTTCCTACCACACCACAAACCATGTGATTTGGACTAAATGGCTGCTCCCTGGGAGCTCATGTCACCATTCTTCACCTGCTTCCATTTTATTAATGTAGAAAAGACACAAATACATGCATGTGCACACACAGACACACCCAATAGACAGGAGTAGAATGAAGGACATGGCCCTCAATAGAGTCTAACCTGATTCAGGTTCTGTTTCAGGGACCTCAGGTGCTTCAGACTCCTCAGGTAAGGATCCCTTGGTGTCCTCGGCTACCTCCAGGGCCTCAGACCCTTCCTGAGCTTCAGGCTCCTCACCTTCAATCTCCTCTTCAGCCTCCGGTTCAGCCTCTTCTACTTCTAGAAAAAATGAGGAGAAATAAATTATTATTCAGTTTAGGTCAACAAATATTTAATTGGGTGCCAGATAGTCTGATTGGTGCTGAGGCCAAAACAAAGAATAAGTAATGGCCCTGCCCTCCTGGAGCATGGGGTTTGATGAGGGAGACAGATACTTTGTCTACATATTTCATCTATTCAAATGTAGCGGCAGTGTGTAGTGCATGTGCTCAGAATGCTATGGGAGCAGCAGCCTAAGGGTTTTAACAGTAAAAAACTGGAACCAGCCCAAAGTCCATTCAGTAAGGATAGGGAGAGAACTACACTGTCTGATACGGAGCCATTAGCCACGTGTGGCTATTGGAACACTTGAAATGTGGCTAATCCAAATTGAAATGTGCTGTAAGTATAAAATACAAAATGGATTTCAAAGACTTAGTTTGAAAAACTGAATGTGAAATGTTTTCAGTAATTTTTGCACTGATTGTTAAAATAATATTTTGGACATAGTATATTAAATAAATATAATTATTTTCACCTGTTTCTTTTTACTTTTTATGTAGCTACTAGAAAATTTACAGTAACATAGGCAGCTTGCATTATATTTTCACTGAGCAGTACAAGGCTAGATTTAATGTATAATGATGGATTTTCTTATACCTAATTACAAATAATGGAATCAATATGTCAAATGTAAATTTTAAAAGCACAATTCCAAGCTTTATGTAGTTGCATGGAAGTCTTTCAGGAAGAAGATGGGGTAAATGGTGTCAGAAAACCCATCTCCCAATTCCTTTTAATATATTCATTAAGTTGAAAAACAAGATATTTCTGTGCAGATGATATGAAAAAAAAAAAAAATGAGCCTGTTTTCTGGACTCCTGTGGAAATTTCTCCCCCCAGTGAGTACCTTCCAAGACTATCTGGTATGAGATACCTTTGGCATCCGAATTTTGATCTGAATCTGGATGATTAAGCACCCAGAGCAAAGCAACTTAAAGTGTTCTTGGGGCATCTGGGTAGCTCAGGCTGTTAAGCGTCTCAGGTCATGATCCCAGGGTCCTGGGATGGAGCCCTATGTCGGGCTCCCTGCTCAGTGGGGAGCCTGCTTCCCCCTCTCCTCTGCCCCTCCCCCCTTGTGCTCTCTGTCTCTCTCTCAAATAAATAATAAAAAATTATTGAAAAAAAAAGAAGAAAAGCAAAACATACCTAAAAAAAACAAAAGTGTTCTTATAGGTCTGGGTCTGTATCAGGACTACAGTGCATGTGGTTTCTTAGTATATGACTCTTTTGTGTCATATAGAGGAATTTATGGGGATACACACAAGGAAGAAACAGCATTTGCTGAATGGGTTTGGGATGAAATTATATGCTGTACAGCAAAAACTCACAATGTATCTCTCATAGTAAAAAAAAACTTCCAATATGCATACATGTAAATTATTTATTTTGAATTCTTATCCATATTAGGGAAAAGAGTTTATATAATGACGCAGAGAAGTGTAAAAAGTTCTAATACTTTTTCTAGAATTCTAATGGATAATCTGTGTACCAGAAAAGTTATGAATGGACTGAAAAGTGTTCTAAGATCCTTATATACTATCTGTGATTTTTACCAAGTATGTGTTATATTAGTTATCTATTGCTTCATAATAAATTACTCCAAAATTTAGTGATTAAAGCAACAGTAACCACATATCATCCTTGCAGTTTCTGGGGTCAGGAATTTGGGAGTAGCTTAATTGGTGGTTCTGGCTCTTGGTCTCTCATGAAGTCAATGAAGATGTCCTTCAGGGTTGCAGTCTCTGAAGGCTTGCCTGGGGCTGGAGGATCGACTTCCGAGGTGTCCACTCAAAGCCTGAACTGAGCTCCTCAAGGAGCAGAGATAAGCCCTGTGTTAAGTCCTGACCCACAGAAAAGTGTACAGAATAAAAATGATAGTTGTTTTACAGTTTTGGGGTGCTTGCTGCCAACAAAGGAAAACTGAAATAGATACTTTTCACTCTTTTGTTTCATGGACCCTTTTGGCAGTCTGGTGAAACTTACGGACCCTCCTTAGAATAATGCTTTCAAACCCATAAAATAAAATACGTAAGAAACCAATTATATTGAAATACAGTTATGAAGATATCAAAATAAATTTTGTACCATAGGAAATTTGTGCATCTTTACTAACGCATTAAATAACAAGAACTAGCAGCCGGTCTAATAACTACCATCATTTTGGAATCGTGATTTAGCATAAAGAGGATATATAGAACTATAATGTGACATGAAAATATCTTAGTTTCTATTGGTAACAAAGTCAAGATACTGCTGATACTATTATGGCTTGTTGCCTATATTAATTACTAAGTGAAGGAAATACTAAATTTCAGGTAAAGTTTAGTGAAAATAAAGTTGTAATTATTTTCCCATTCAAGTTCACAGACCTCTGAATTTTATCCATGAACTCTAGGTTAAGAACTTCAGTCTTAAAAGAAACAGTTGGAGTAAGTTCTTGTATAATGGAGATGAAAATTTAAGTTCAAAGACAATGGGTATAGCAGGAGATTGGCTGTTTTCTCAACTTCTGCAGGATCCTTCTACTAGAAGTAATTCCAACATCCATGTGTCCTACATGACCAGGGCAGCATTTTAAGACAAGCTGCTGAGCTTCCTGCTGTGGACCCGCAGAGGGAGCATGCGTAGGTATTTGTGTCAGAGGTCTTTTCCTATGACTCCATTGCTCTAATGACCGCACAATTTCCTATCCAAATTGGAACACTGAGAATGAAAGTGGGTCAAATAAATATTTCAGTACCATAGGCATAGCATAAACCTAGACTCTCATGGGCAAACTGGGAAATACGGTCATGCTGTCTGTAATTAACTTGAAATACTGCAGTTGCCTGCAGTAACAAAACAAAATTAAATGACACATTATTAATGATATAAATCTGTGTTTGCCTTTTGCTTTCTCGCTTATAGCTTCCAATAGCCTTTGGTCTTCTTCTATTCTCAATGCTTCTTCAGCAGCTTTTCTGAAAGGAAAAGGTCCAAAATTTAATCATCTTTGGAAATTCAGACATCTTACAATATTCTAGGATTTGAAGCCTATAGTGGTAAAAAATTGGGTAAATTGTGTATAATGTTCATTACACTATTTAACTTTACAATGTAAATGTTTAATTTGCTCATATTGAAGCCACTTAATTTCAGGGTTGGTTTGTTTTTTTCCTTTTTTTTGGTTAAGAAAAGTTGCAATGTTACACTTTAAAAAATTTTGGCTATTAATTAGGAAATCTGCCAAAATTAATAAAAGATTGTCCAACTCTAAGCTGAAAAGGTAAATGGGAGAAGTACCATTTTCCCTTCTGAATAAGAAATGTTCACAAAATATGTTAAGTGACAAAAAAGTATAATATAAGACTATGTATAATATAATTTTAATTTTGTACTTAAAGTTTATATAAATGATGATCAAAAGCCTAGAAGGATGCTAATCAAAACTGTTAATAGGAATTATCTCTGGATGCTGGCATTATGAGAGTTTTTACTTTTACTTATTATTTTTTTGCATTAAAAATTTTTCTATACTGAATAAATAGATAATTATCTTTTAATCAGAAAAAATTATTTCCTGACTTCTTTTCTTTTCAACATTGTAATAATGAAATTTGAAGAGCCTTGAAATATGGAAACTTAAATGTCTGGAGGGAATCTATTTTTCATTAGGATTGAAACACGAAGCCTGCCTTAATGATGAAGATAGGTATAAGGAAAACTAGTAAAGTGATGGAGAAAGGCAATATTTATTAAAAATTAAAATGTGTATACCTCTGACATAGAAATTCTATATCTAGGAATTTAGCTCTCAGGAATCGGCATACTACTGCACAAAGGAACATGTATAAGAATGTTGATTGCATTGGGCGCCTGGGTGGCTCAGTCGGTTGAGCGACTGCCTTCGGCTCAGGTCATGATCCCAGGGTCCTGGGATCGAGTCCCACATCGGGCTCCTGGCTCAGCGGGGAGCCTGCTTCTCCCTCTGACCCTCTCCTCTCTCATGCTGTTTCTCTCTCACTTACTCTCTAATAAGTAAATAAATAAAATCTTTAAAAAAAAAAAAAGAATGTTGATTGCATCTTTTAAAAATAGTATCAAAAAACTGTATCAAGTATTCACCAACAGGGGATGAGTTAAGTAGAGCTCATTCATATCAGCTGCCCACTCTGGGGCAGTTTTCCTGACTATTTTACATGTCTGTCATTCTCCATATTCAGTGTTCTTTGCATCCTTTCCCCATCCTGTGAAAATCTAGTTACTTCTATTGTCTTCAAAAGACATTACTACACTTATGGAGATATGTCAGGAAAACAATAATTAAGGCCATTTTTTTTTTAAGATTTTATTTATTTGAGAGAGAGAGTGTGCGCTGTGAGCGGGGGGAGGGGATGGTGAAGGGGCAGAGGGAGCGCCTGTGAAAGAATTTCAAACAGACTCCCTGCTGAGTGCAGAGCCCAAGGCGGGGCTCCAGGACACGGGTGAGGGTGGGGGGCAGGGGGGCTCTCATGACCTGAGCTGAAACCAATAGTCGGAAGCTTAACCAACTGAGCCACCCAGGCGCCCCTTTCATTTACTTTTTATCGTATTATTTTTTCAATTTGTGGGTACTGGTCAGTAAAATTATTTAAGTCACAGATAAATATGGTAAAAAAAAATAATCTTACCTGTGCTCATTTTTTTTCAGTGTCTTTTGAGAGCTGACGCTTGTTCTAGAATAAGTTTGATTTCGGGCCATGAAAACATCCACAACTCAGTACTTTAGACACTCTGAAAATATTTGTAAGCCTACTGTTTTTCTTAGAATTTAGTTAGAATTGGATCTACTTAGTAGACCATTGTTTTGATATTAAAGACATTTCATAAATGTAACTTGTAAGTAGATACGTAATAGCTATAAAAGATTCATTAACTTGTTTTATTATGCCAGACATATTTTACCTTGCTGCTTCTTCCTCCTTTTTTTTCTTTTGCAGTTCATCTAATAATCTTTCTAAAATCTTAGAGTCAACTTCAGTCTTATTCTCTAAATACAGTCTATTAAGTAAATATTTCCCTGAAATACAGATAAAGAGAATAACATTAATTTTGAAGCTCTATAAAATATAGTGAGAAACAGTTTGGAAATTAACGACAAAAAATTGTTCCTGCCTATATCCAAATATATTTCCCTTTAAGCATTTATCTAAATAGAGTCCAGGTTCTTTAAAATATCGAGACTGTCTGAAATCCTTTCTAAGAGGTATATATCGGCACAGTAGAAATAACTAAAACATGAAAAGAGGTGGTGTATCATATTTTCCCCCTGGAAACTCTCTTTTCAAATATATTTCCTTACAAGGCAAGATGACAGAATATTCTTGGCTCCTATGTCAAAGATTATTTGACCATATATGTATGGGTATATTTCTGGGCTCTCTAGTCTGTTCTGTTGGCCTAGGTGTCTGTTTTTATGCCAGTACCATACTGTTTTGATTATTATAGCTTTTTTCAAAGTGACAGAATAATTAAAATTTAGTTCTGCTATCTTTATGTCTTTAATATTTCCCATTTGAGGTGTTAAGGACTAATATATAGTCTTTACTCTCAGCCTTATATATTTTTCATTTAGAAGTTAGAGTGCTGATTGAGAATGGGGTGTTAAATTCTCAGCTCCAAAGAATAATTGTAAGGGCCTGATGGAACGTCCAATGATCCAGCACACCATTCCTGCCCATCTACTTGGTGAGTGGATGCCTCATTCTGTGTACCTCTAGGTTGTGAAGGGATTGCTGGGGTGATATTAGTAACTAGGGAGAGGGAAGAGTTTTCCATTTTGTATTTTAACTAAACATATTATCAGCAATAAAAACTTCACTTTCAGATTTACATGATAAATATTTACTAACCATTGTTTTCTGTATCTGATAAATAGATTACTAAATCAGGTATAATTCCTTTCTCGACTAAGACTATCCACAGTTCTTTCATAACAGGGCAGTTGTCCAGTATCCATCCTCCATACTTTGGGGCACCAGAAAACCTATTCGTGTTTTCTTCAACCACCTGTGAAAAAGGACAACTGATATTATCATCACAGCCAGAGAAGTCAAGGATACTACTTTGATATATCGTTTTTGCAGACCCTAACCAATTATCTTCTGAATTCTTCTGACTCGAAAGAAAAAAAAAAATCACTTAATTTTAAAAGAGACACTTAATTTAAAAATAAATAAATAAAATAAAAATAAAAGAGACAATTTTAAAGCAATAAAGCTATCTAAGTGTTTAAAATTAAGAATGGGAAGCAAAAGCCTTTATTAAATAAATATAACAGTACATTTTTGCTATCTGTTATTCTGTATTACAGAATTCAGATCCCGATTTAGGAGGTCTTGGGCCCAGGAGTGTGCATTTCGAACATGCTCCTAGGTGACAGTGGTCCATGGACCCCTCTTTGAGTAGCAAGGGCCCAGTCCAGCTTGCCTGTTTTCGTGACAACACTCTTCACTTCCCTTTTACTTTTCATTCCTCAGTGTGAGAGCTGAGAAGGTACTGATACGGTTACTAAAAGCAGCAGGAAGGAATTGGAAAGGAAAATAAACCTTGCAGGTGCTTAGGGAGTTCTGCTAAACTTTGTCCCTAACCCCCCTCGGGCAGAGCAGTAGCTACAGCTTCAGTGCAAGTATGGAAATTAGTAATGTGGACCTGTGAATACACCAAGTCTGAGCGGTTCAAGTTTGTGTGTCATCAGGTAATCACAGGATATCTGAAGTCAAAGGGGAAGAGATGTCACAAGAAAGGGTATAATTCACTGGCCTCTGCAGAATTTAAGATTACCTACTTTATGAATTTCCATCTGAATGAAGAGTCCTTTTTAAAAAATTCTTTTTAACTTTTAACTATTTTATTTAAATTCAATTAGTTAACATATAGTGTATCATTAGTTTCAGATTGAAGAGTCTTCTAAAAATTTTTTTTAAGCACTTTGAAATGCTTAACAGAATTAAGGGAAAAAAGAGAAAGCTGTAAAAAAAAATATAAATGAAATAAGTCAGAGAAAGACAAATACTGTATAATCTCACTTATATGTAGAACCTAAAAAAACTGAACTCCTAGAAACAGAGTACAGATTGGTGGTTGCCAGAGGCAGGGGTGGGGCTGGGGAGAATGGGTGAAGGTGGTCAAAAGGTACAAATTTATAGTTATAAATAGGTCCCGGGGGCGTAATATTCAGCATGGTTTGACTACAGTTAACAATATTATATCGTATATTTGGAGGTTGCTAAGAGAGTAGATCTTAGAAATTCTGATCACACATACACAAAACTAAATGTGTGAAGTGATGGGTGTTAACGAAAATTATTGTGGTAAACATTTCACAATATATACATATATCATATCATTATGTTATACACCTTAAACTAATACAGTGTTATATGTCAAATACAACTCAATAAAACTGAAAAAATATAAATGGTTAACGAAAGTCTTACTGTCCAGTTTCAAAGATATGAAAATGAAAGCAACATTGAGATATAATTTATAATTTCTCCATCTCATTCAAATTTTTTTGAAAAAATTAATGCCTTCATAGTATTTTATCAAATGAATAGATCTTAATTTGTTTAATCATTCTCTCACTCTTAAACATTTACATAATTTATAATTTTAATATAACACTGTGATGAACATCTGCATATGCAAATCTACGCCCAAATGTTACATATTTTTTTAGGTTAGATTCCTAGAAGATGTGTTTTTAGGTTCATAAAGGTATGAACATTTTAAAGGTCTTTCACACACATTGCCACATTGTTTCCAAAACATCTGTATCAGTTTTCACTTCTCCTATGTGACCATCTCATTATAGCCTCACTGGTATGGATTGTTATACATTTTTAAAAATCTTTGGCAATTTGATAGGTAAGAATTTATATCTCACTGTTTTAAGTTTCATAATTTTCTCAAAATTTGAACATTAAAATTTTCAATTAACCATTTGCATTTCTTCTTTGATGAAACAATCTGTATCTTTTTCCTGGTTTTACATTAGGATATTCCATTTTCCTTGATTTGTAAGAAATCTTTGTATTAAGGAATTAATAGGTCATATTTATTATAAATATTTTTTGACCTTTGTCCTAAAATTATGATTTTCATGTTTTTTTTCATAGAGAGAATCATT